AATTACTTGAAACTCGATTACTTAAAATACCCGCTTTCAAATTTCCTAGTTTTCACAACGTGCCCCTTATTAACGTGCCCCTTATTAACGTGCCCCTTATTAACGTGCCCCTTATTAACGTGCCCCTTATTAACGTGCCCCTTATTAACGTGCCCCTTATTAACGTGCCCCTTATTAACGTGCCCCTTATTAACGTGCCCCTTATTAACGTGCCCCTTATTAACGTGCCCCTTATTAACGTGCCCCTTATTAACGTGCCCCTTATTAACGTGCCCCTTATTAATGAGCCCCTTATTACTACGTTTAATACAGAAAATACTGCTACAAGACATATTGCTTTGTCAGCATGAACATTGCTATTAGAATTAATGCTGGCGATCGTTCGTTCTTAGAATCATAAATTTTATGATCTTTTCGGCTGCGATATTGTCGATCTTTTTTGACACGTAGAATTTTATAAATATTCGAATTTCATTTGCGTGGAACAAAAGTTCATTCGCGATCACCGTTAGTTTGTAACAACAATTTTGCACAAAATGATTTATGTGCACATCTTTCGGTTTGTTAACTGTACTAAATAAGAATAATATAGCAGTAAATAACAATATAATAATAATATAAATAACAAGAAAACAGATAGAAATAACAGACATTAAAAGTTAAAAGGCAAAAGCAAGCGATTTTATATTAATCGATTTTTCTCTCATCTTTGTATTCAAATCAGATTTTCAATTTTTAATTCAGTCCAAATTCAATTACTTGAAACTAACTTACTTAAAATACCCGCTTTCAAATTTCCTAGTTTTCATTAAAAAGATAAAAACAGTTCACTATTTTTTTCCCAAAAATTTCTCAACACCAATTTATTCTAATTGACAATTATTACTTTGTTTTTCACTTTTTTATAAAACATTCTCATCTCAAGACTGTCTGAGTTTCTCTTTCCAAGTACTAATCCAGCAAACGAGTTTGTTTCAGATTGAATATCATTTAGTGTCTTCGATAATTATACATATTTTATAGAATTTTACTAATCTTTCGCAGATTGAATTTCTTTCGGAGTCTTTTATAGAATCCAGTTCTCGTGAAGCTCCTTTTTTGTGCTATCGAATCTCTTGCGAAAAGGTCTCTCATACTTCTGACCTTATCCCCTCCCTTTCCCTTTGTTACATTTAGATTATTACGTAGACAGATTAAGTAGACAGATTATTAAGTAGATGTTTAGACTTTTACGTAGCTGTGATTTATGGTTGGGTAGATTAGATTCGTAGATGCACGGGTCCCAGTCAGGTTTAGTTCTCGCGTCGGTTTTTCATCTCGAAGCTCCTTTTGCTGTTTGTTTCGAACATTGTACAAACGCACAGCAAAAGGAGCATTTATTTGACGATAAATCAATTTTAGACTCTTTTGCGCAAAAGGAGGGTGGATGGGTCGCGGTTAGGGTGGGTCTCCACTCGCAGCACCTCCACGTGGTGAGACCCGGGCAATCAGTATTATTTGATATACAATTACTAATTGTATCACTATACAGCCAAGCAATTAACTGTATAACTGATACAATTATTAATTATATGGCAAGTAATATGAGCTAATTGGCTGCGATCCTGACTAGGTACTCGTATCGATGCATCTATGGTACATTAAATTAGTGAAATATGATTCAGACTAATAATAAGTACTTTTGGTACTCAGTATAGTATAAATAAGAATGCAATATTCTAGAGTTAAATAACTCTATCTAAACCTCTTATGGATTTCGATGAGTAGACGGGCTTAATGTTCAATCTACCATTTCTTTTGCATCTTATTTTGTCGTTCGATTTGAGAACCACTGCACGCCCCGTTGCGTAGGCTAACCGTCTTTCGCTCGTGTAAGGCGGGTTGCACACGTGCAGGCACAATTCAGCCGATTTTTCATTATCGATAACTAAGAAACAAAGCCGAAAACGCGATTTTTGTATTCTTGATCTTTGACTTATTTCGGCTTCGACAATCACCCCTTAAATTTCCTTACACCTAGCCAAACACCCTGTATAATGGGATCCGGGCATGGTCACCTGGTCGTGGTGGTGGGTCCAGGTTATTTGTATCGGTTTTCAAATATCAGTATCTCGAAATATTAGCGTAAATATTAGAAAATGAATAGAATCTTATAGAATCTTATTTTGTTCTCTAATTGATCCCGGTCTTGTTCTCCGATCTCGTGTTTAAAGAAAGCTCAGCCGAGTCATATTAAAGTGGCAAAAATGGAATGTTAGAATTTAGTAGAACGATTCGAATTTCCCTTTGCTAGACACGGAATTATGCATAGAGTGTCAGTAGCTTCGTTTCATTTCCTTCCTTTCGAACTATACAAATGTTGCCAATAGCGTTGCGGATTACCGCATAATGTTCCGAATTACCGACGATCGATGTAATCGCTGTGTGGCAGATAGATGTTTGGCAGCTTAGTTTGCGAAATATTTATCTCCATTTATCATTTATCTATCATATATTTATCTCTCATTTGTCGCCCATGAGCAAATAGCGACGGAATTCTTGCTAATAGCTTCTATGTCGAGATTTCTGTGTAACGTTGACTAATTCATGGGTAGGTCTCGTGCTGAGACCTGATTATTGCCATTCTTTCACAAAGATTAACTTTTGTATTATATTCTTGTTAATCGATTAACTATCTTCGGAAAAGCAAGTTGAGAACCACGCACAATGCAGTCCAATCTAGATCATGCAAAGTTCTTGTCGTAGTCTTTTAGTAATGTTGGCAACTAACATTATCACCTAATGACAGAAGCCGCAATCACTTAGTTGCCGACCCAATAGTTTGACTGAATTTTAAGTCTCGTTCTTGGACGAAGAAAGACGACGGGGGTTACGAGCGAAGGGCTCAATCTTTATTTCAAGATTTAGTTTCAAGCCTCGCTTTTAAATCTCAATTTTCAGCCGCGTAGTTATCTTCGAGCCTCAGTTTCGTATTTTTAATTCAAATCCGTGTACATCTCGTCGGTACCAGTAACATACCGAATCGATAACGTAGCACGCGAAACGAAAATGGTAAGGGGACCCTGTAATCCGCAAGACGGATGCGCAAAAGTTTCGCATGTCGCGTCTATCTTGTGCCTCGTCTGTGATTTAATAACAACGTCGACAATGATTTATCGGAAACCAATCACGAACTAGTATAATAGATAATACCGCAGACGACTAGTCAATGGTAATACCAAAGCGTCGATAGCTGGCGCCACCTGCGAAAACCAATTTCAACTCCAAGTTCTCATGACGAAAGAAGCTGACGTTATCAGTCGCGAGTTTATCGACGATGCGAAATAAAATTGCGAACTTATGCCACAGAACAGGTACGGATGTACGTACGTACGTCATCTGTGTTTATGCGAAAGACGAATGCTCGTCTCTGCTTGCGCGTAACAATAGCAAAAGCACGTCATGGTCAGATATACTGCATTATATATATATTAAAAAAAAGAATAGTTTCGACAATTTATAATTAGACAGAGATCGTTTCTATTACAGTCCTGCGATTATAGCAATGTATTTAACCTGAATAATTTAATATTCCCGTCAGGCAAAGGAAATATTTGTAGAAAAAAACCATTTACATAGCGATTTCTCAACGTGTTACTCAAACGTGTTAAACGATCGTTAAACCTTTTGAACGTCGTAAAACTTGTTTTAAACGTTTGAAAGAAAAATTGATAGTTAACCGGCGCTCTCGGAAATTATCTGAATCTCGATGTTCGAATCCTTGCGTAAGTATTGGGTTGGCAACCAAGTGATTGCGAATCTTATCGTTACCATCTATTGACAAAATCCGCAATCACTTAGTTGCGCGTTTCTTGAAAAAAATCAGCGTACTAAGTTCGAAATTGGTAAAAATTGTAAGGGAAAATCTTGTTCGTATGAGAGGAATTTTAATATGATAGGAACATTTCTTTTATTTAATTGCCGCGTTAAATTCTTTCTTTTATGGTAACGTTTGGTATGGAGAAACTATGGCAGTGAATCAAGTTGGGCTTATCGATCGAAGGAATCGATGTTCGTGCTATTTTCCACTGTGTATAAACTCATTTCGCCTGAATTAACTATTATCGACGATCAAATAACATTTTAAGAGATTAGATAGCGGATTGAACCGAAGTTGTACCAAAAACCTGCACTTTTGTGAAATCTAAAATCAACAAATCGGATCATTGGGTAAAAGCGGTGAAAAAGTTCATTTTATCATCAATCAATACCAATCGAAGTTGCATGATTGCAATACGGTGCTATAATGTGGAGAATTCTTGGAAATTGTATATTCTAATTAGATAGATTCATAATTATGAATTTACCAGTTTTGTTAATTATTTTATGCTGATGACGAATTATTGTTGATAATGGCCGATTAGATTACTTATGAAGCAATAATACACATTTACGTTTGCAATTTTTTCATATCAATTTATATCATCGAACTCGGTTTCTTTAGTGTCGTAATAAAATATTTACTTTGTTATTTTGACGCGCTTAATAGATTGCGAAACATCCTTCGAGTAGTCTAAATACTTTCGGTCTTTTCTGTGTAAATAAATACTAAAAAAGCATTAAGAATTTTATTTATTGTTTTCATGATCTTTTTCTTTTTCGAGTCTTTCTTATTGCAGGCTATTTATTTATTTTATTTATTACTTATAATTATTTATTATTATTATCGTATTTATTTTTTCAAACTACCTTCGTACCTAGAAACCTACAGTTAACACTTCATTCAAAGAAATGAGAATTTTCGAAATTTTAGGATAACTTGTATTTATTTAAAATATCTAGAAAGCTAGAAGTTTGATTCATCAGAGAAAATTTCAATTTCCGTCTAGAACTATAATTTCCACATTTATTTACACTATATTAAGAATTAGTTTCCTAACCTCGTACATACGTGTATGAAATTATTATATTTGTTAGAAATATTTATCATATTTCCCAGAAAGCGAATATTTATTACTCAATACATAATTTTACAACTTTGTATCTTCTCGTGGACGTTACACAGAGTGGAACATTTTATTCTTCGGTTTATTCTGCGTAAATTTACCTATACTTCGTAACAGTACAACACATTTAACCGTACATAATAAGAAATACGTCGTACAGGTGGAAAATTTATATTTCAATTAACGCGACGTATGCAGCGATAAAGAGCATACGTACGAGAATACGAAGAAATATTAAACTCCATATTCTCAGGATTTTTGTTAAAATCAACGTTCCCCCTGTCTCCCGTGGACTCATCGTGCAATCCTATTAAAAAAAAATTTCCGCACCGAAAACGTCAGCCTGACACTAAAAATCCTAATTCCCAATTAACTCATCATTCGTCGTTGCATCGAAATCGTCTCTCGATCACCTCCCATGGCATCCATTCATATACATAATAATATGACGTGATGGCAGCTCGCAATCTGTCGCTCATGGGTCAACGTCACCATAACAGGTTATTTACCGTAATTTGTCAAATCGACCGCCAAAGTGCAGCTGGTGGTCCTTCGCTCGTAACGCAAATCTAACCTGTATAACCAATTCCTTACTTTCTCCTAAAACAGCAAAAATAAGCGAAGGAAGTGTTTTTGAGGCGCGTTTTCGCGCCGCGTGTATTGGCGCAGACGCTCGCCTCCAGCACGCGGCATTGACCATTTCACAGCAGCCCAATTTCCATTTGTTACGCAATTGATGCAATTAGGTACGTCAATCAGCGGGATAATGGAATGGTCGAGATGGATACCGGCTAACAATGCGGAGTTAATCCGACTTCAAACGCTCACCAGCGATGAAAACATGCTTTCGTCTTGCGTTGAATGGATAGCAGACCCAGCTATACCCAGTGTCCAATAATTCCATACTGTTGTGCAGCAAAGGTTAGGTGTCAAGGAAATTTTCTAATGATGGATTACGTAGCTTGAGATTGCCTTGAGAATTATAAGAACTGATAGGAAGCAGCCGGATTTTGAATTACTGATATTTGTTCGAAATACGATAATTTTTTATTTCTTTATTTCTTGTACGTTGGTCGTTAGTGAATATGGAATAGTTGTACTTTCAAGAAGAGATGTTTATTTCCGCTTTCGATAAAGTATTCTAACGTTTTTCTTTCTCGTTTTGTGTCATTAGCGTTAAAATATATGGGTCAGATAAATAAAGAAGAAACAGAGGAAGTAAATCTGCTGTAGAAAAGATGTGCTGTAGATAAATTTTCTTATTATCGTTTTATTAGCATCAGCAACCGACAAGCGTTTCAATTAATAAATGATTGCTAGTAACTACTAGGGGGTTTTGGAATAATCCTATTACGAAAAGGAAACTTTAATTTTAATACCTTTCGCTAGAATAAATTAGTATCTCTTCTTCTTACATTTTACTATCGTTAATAGAAGATTTGGAATAATTCTTCTGTAGAGGAGAAATTTTCATTTCTATCTTTTAGTTTAATATTTCGAATGGCCTAATAATAAAATCGTCTAATAATAAAATCGTGCAATTGGAGAGATGACGAGGCATTAAACATTGAACAAAAACGCGACTGCGTGGTAAAAATTATCGTCGATACATGGTATAGAATATATTCTTAATCTTTATATAATATTATTCGATAATTACATCGACGACAATTCGTACGTAAGTGAAGCATTATTTCATCGTATTTCCATCGTAATTCGCCTCGTCTCCAACCACTCACCCGGAACGTGTATCCACAAAAAGGAATTACATAAATAATAATTAACAAGTATGACCTCAACGGATATTAAAATTCAGAATCGAGAATTTCGTCGCCTGCTTTATACAATGATTCTGCGATCATGTACATTCTATTCCACGTCACTCTCAATTTCAAACACACTATCACATTCGTCTTTCGAAAAGAAATTATAAATTCCGTAATTATGCAATTTCAAAAAAGAAAAAAATAAACGATCGTAAAATTTCGAAACAGAGATTATACATTAATTAATATTTGAATAGACATTCTCAGAATTTATTAGAAACAGAAAGCATGTTGGAATATTTGCAAATTTTGATTATATGTGATATGATATTTTATAACTTTATTTGCCATAAAAAATATCTCGAAATTTCTCAGAAATATATATATTGTAAACGATCTCTTCGTTAGAAAATTTTGAGATTTTACCAATCTAAGAAAATCTTGAGTTTTTAAAAAATCGAACATTTTTCAAGAAAATTGTCGAGTCAGGATACAGTATCTAAATCATCAGCCTTTCAGCAGAAGATCTTCGACATAAGCAATACAAAATGTTAATCTAGAAAAAGAATGAAATGAATAAACATAGCAGGTATCAGGAAGTAGGAACACAGAAATATTCTGACGTGATTTAACATGGAAAAAGCTCGTTTGTAAGAAATGAAAACATTGTATATCGAGTACAAAAAGAAAAAAAAAAAAAAAACAGTCAGATCCAAAGAACCGGCGCGCGTGTGAAAAAGGCAAATTTTCGTGCAACATTATGCACTGTATAATCGAATATACATAAAACTGTTCACCCGTAGTTCATGGCAATTTATAACATGAGGAAAGCAGATAAAAAAAGGCGCTGCTTTGCATCGGTAATTCCATCCAGCGGCTTCTCATAAATATTCACGGTAAATATTACGTGGATGTACGTCAATATGAGTGTTGAAAAGCAGAAATGTTGCTCGAAGATCAGACTGCACCTCGAACAAGTTCAGTAAATGGGCTTCCTCGTACAGATTGCACGGTTTCTATAAAGCATCGAATCTTGGTGTCTTATGGGACACGAGAACGATTATTAAATTTATAATATTTTAACTTAAATATAATAATAGTTGAAGCAGTACTATATAATAAAATATATAATTTGAAGCATTAAAATGTAAAATGGCATTTAAAGGAAAATTCAATTCTAACATTTGGTGAAACAAATAATTCCCTAGCTAACGTATATGTTGAATAATATGTTATATATATATATATACAAGGTGGTTGGTAATTGGTGGTACAAGCGCAATGTGGCAATAAAGTAATTAAAGTTCTATACTTCTCAGGCTTGCCTTTTAACCCATACTATATCACATTGTTGAACTTGCATACAAAATCATCATAATTGGCTTCGATATGCATGACTGACCTTCTTCAACAAATCTTTGTTAACAAATCTTTTACGTTATCTCTCCACTATCTATTTCATTAAATAAAATCCATAGTTCACTTGTACTTCATTCAAAGCCAACATGATTTCTCACTACTGATATCCCATGCATTCCTGGGAAATAAAAATTTCCCTATTAATCTATCTTCACAAAATGTTTACTTCTCAGTTGTCTATCTTCAGAAAAGTGGAAACATGTTTGCGAATTGATTACATTTGAGGCCTTCGCAGTAAAAATAGATCATGGCATATCTTTCCTGAACGTGAATTTATTATTTTAATTTATTTCAACAAGTTGCATGAATCGTAACAAAAATACTGAAATGCGTATTTTCTAAATGGGATCAATTATCGTATAGAATATATATTTATAGATATAACGTTGTTATAACAATATACAGGGTGGTTGGTAACTGATGGTACAAGTGGAAAGGGGGTGATTCTACGCGAAAAAAGAAGTCGAAAATATAGAATAAAAATTTTTCGTCCGAGGCTTTGTTTTCGAGAAAATCGATTTTGAATTTTGGCTCGGTACGCGTGCGGTACGTTATAACGGATCTCACTGTAGATCGTTGTCTCGATGGAAAAATTAAAAAAAAAAAAATTTTTATTCTATATTTTCGACTTCTTTTTTCGCGTAGAATCACCCCCTTTCCACTTGTACCATCAGTTACCAACCACCCTGTATATTGTTATAACAACGTTATATCTATAAATATATATTCTATACGATAATTGATCCCATTTAGAAAATACGCATTTCAGTATTTTTGTTACGATTCATGCAACTTGTTGAAATAAATTAAAATAATAAATTCACGTTCAGGAAAGATATGCCATGATCTATTTTTACTGCGAAGGCCTCAAATGTAATCAATTCGCAAACATGTTTCCACTTTTCTGAAGATAGACAACTGAGAAGTAAACATTTTGTGAAGATAGATTAATAGGGAAATTTTTATTTCCCAGGAATGCATGGGATATCAGTAGTGAGAAATCATGTTGGCTTTGAATGAAGTACAAGTGAACTATGGATTTTATTTAATGAAATAGATAGTGGAGAGATAACGTAAAAGATTTGTTAACAAAGATTTGTTGAAGAAGGTCAGTCATGCATATCGAAGCCAATTATGATGATTTTGTATGCAAGTTCAACAATGTGATATAGTATGGGTTAAAAGGCAAGCCTGAGAAGTATAGAACTTTAATTACTTTATTGCCACATTGAAATGAACATGTGTACGATTTTATCACGATTACGTAATTAGTAAATTACATTATTTTGATAGAGAGAATACTGTGGTAGGGAGAAACAAGTTGTAACACACTGTGGCTTTTTTATTCTTATTATAAGAGAAATTCTGAAGTAAGATTTGCTAAAATGGAATATTCCAGCGTTCAACTAGGAAGAGAAATTTATTCCAAAGAGGGGACACAGAAGTCAGTGTCCAAAAATTTAGAACAGCTATAGATGAGCCAAATCATGAGGTACACGCGTGACACGAAATTCATATCTGTCAGCCATGAAGAGTAGCAGATAACCTTGACACTTCAAACTTATGCCCATGAAGACTCTCGCAATCAGAAATTTTCCATTATTGTTAATGACAGCAAATATCCAAAATTGTTTGTTAGCTGAATCTACCAGCATCAGGAACTGTGTCATAAGCACAACTGTAGGATGCTGCAAAGTATTTTGATGATAATAGTGATCCTTCTTAAGTAGGGGACAAAGGAAAATCCATAATCACAAATTTCATAATATAGGTGCAGTGAAGAGCTTTTTAGAATATAAAAGTAAAACAATTTTGAAGGTCTCTTTGAAGAAGATTCTTTGACACACTTGTTCTGTGTCTAGACACTGTCTAGGTGATAATAATAAATCTTCTCAAGCAGAGAACAAAGAACTCAAGAGAGGAAGATCATTGGAGGCTCCTTCAGTGGGAAGTTTCATTCAGAGCATCTTTGAGAAATCTAGAATTGAAACAGTATTTAAAAACTTATTTCCCTCTATAAAATCTTAATAACTAAGAGATAAAAAGAAAAAGAAGAAACGCAAGTCTCTTAAACTTTTCTTCCTGAAATATTAAATATTAAATAATGTAGTGTAGAAATGATTCTGAAATGTTGAAATGAAAAATTTCACTGAAGATATATTTGGAGAATCTAAAATTGAGAAAATAGTAAAAGCCTTAGAACTGAAAGAGTCCAGACTTGGTCTAGATCTGAAAGAATCTTCCAAACTTCTAGAGTTAAGTGCACTATAAAAATGTTGAGACTTCTCTATCTAGAAATCATGTAAAACCTGAACTATTAAGAGACAAAATATTCTATTATAAATTGTTTTAAAAATGTTGACAAAATAGTTCTAAATATCTAAACATTTACATAAAAATTATACAAAATTATACATAAATCTTCTAAAATAACATAGAATACACGCGGGCTGTTGTATTTCTGTTTTAAGTGACGATATTGGGTGGATGAGCTCGCAAAAATAACTAAGCGGCTGCGAAATTAGATGATCACAGTCGGAAGGCTGTCCAAAAAGCTCAAAGCTCCGTAGGCTGAGCAGTCTGGCTCAAAACTGTGCAACACGTGTTGGTCGCGTAACTTTTGACCCGATTGGTTCAAAATTGGTAAAAAAAAATTGTCGGATAAAACTAGAAATCTATCTTGAGGCTTTAATTAGTTTCAAGGTTAGTGAGAATTTTTAGAATTCAGTTAGAGTCTTTGGGAGATTTTTTATTAGGAAAAGGAAGCGTTCAAAATATGATACTCGTTTAGAAATTTTAATACCGTGAAATCAAATAAATAATAAAATTAAAATTGAATTAATCGAATTTTGTAGAAATTAGAATTTTTATTTATACTAGAATCCTAACAAATTTTGAAAAATTTCGAATTATCGAGGAAGAGGAACAATTTTATCTTTTGAAAGAAAGAAACAAGACCAATAATAATGGGCAATTTTCTAAAAAATTCAGCTCTTTACATGAAAGCTGGATCTGGCACTTACTGTTGAAAGATAGATACTTTCCTTTCAATCATTTTTCTACTGAAGACGAAAAGCAAAATCAAATATTTGGATTATTTTACGAACGTAATATAGTTTGCATGACTATCGGGGAATTTTTATTTTTAAAAAATCTGCGGTGAGGATCGATTCCTTTACTTGGACTGAGCGTCAAGTTAAAGCGTCGAGTGTCCAGAATATTCTGTACAGCTTAATCCAACGTATTCTCGTTCAAAGTGCAAGTCACTTTAAAATGCGACTATTCCGTGCTAAATGTGATGGCGTTTCTTAATTATTTGTAATCTTTTCCTTTTTTAATAATGTATTAAACGTAATTAAAATTTTGTCTTTTTTTATTAATCTAAAAATTGCGAAAATCATTTATTTAAAGAATTAAAGAATTACGTGTATCTTCTATGTTAAAAAATCGTTTTCAACTGTATCGTCATTTGGGAATTGCAAGATCAAAATAAAATAATAAACATAATTAATGATAAAATTTAAATAATAAAGGTACCTTTAGTCCATGGAAAAAATTGAATTTTACTGTAACGATAAGAATTTATATCTTTCAATATCTTTATAATTTTCCAAAAAAATATACAAGTTTAAACTAGCATTTGGACTCAGATTCAAGATCAAAGATTCAAGTACAACATTCTTCTTGCACAATCCTGGCAAATGATTAATTCTTTTGCACTGATTAAAATCTTATTTTTCCATCACTTTGTTTTTTATTCTATCTAAAAGAAATTAATTTGCATCAAAAGCTAATGTTGCGTACCGAATTTCATAATCGCGATTAACTATAAAATATTGCCGAGACAAGATAGAATAAACATAATAAAGAAGCAAATATGGCTGAATGACCTTTTGTAATTGGCGGAAAGGTTTCTATTGGCGCAATAATCTTTCTTTTTATAATTAAGGTATTAAATACGTATCAAAAAATACATAGAGAAATAAAAATTTTGTTTAAATATTGGGATATTATACATATTTATATAGCTTCATTATTTTAGAAATATTGCAACGTTATAATATCTCCATTACTGCGCACGCATACATTTCTACTCACACATAAAAAAAATTCAATTAGACTCACCAATTACTTGGTCCTACGACAATGCTTTCCATTTTGTTAAATTAACGGCTGCTTTACTCTTCCTATTTCTTTCCTACTTCACTCTTCCCACTTCTTTCCTACTTCACTCCACTTAGATTTATTCCTGTTACATTGCTCCAGTAGTTGAATTAAACCTAGAACAGACGAATTTGCAGCGTCAGATGTGGAAAATAAATTGAAGGTGCAAAGCGTCAGTAATGTTCTCATACGAAGTAACAAACATTGAAACGAAATAAATTATCGATACCGTTCGCGAAATTATAACATTTTATACAATAGTATACCGTTTAATCGCTCTTTGAGAAAGATTTATGGTAATTGAAGTCACTTTTCTATATAATTTTCACAATTTCATGCAACGAAACGCGAATTCAAACTGACCGACGCGGAAAACGCGGAAACTACTAGCGCCACTTGCGTTCTCTTCTCTAAATAGAATTTAAATTCGAAATAGGTACTATATATCATACTATTCTCTTTTTATACATTACTCTTTATTATTACTCTTTATTTTATATGAAAATTTGTATAATAAAACATTATAAACACAATACAATTTAATTTACGTACTTTTGGCTATAAAATTTATATAACAGAATGTATAATAATATGAATAGAATTTATAATAAAGTATAGAAATATATCTAGCCCAACCTATATTTGGAAGTTTAAAGAATAGACAAGTATGTTTTGTAAGTTATTTTTAATATACTAATAATCTACACAATTATCGTTTAATTAAATAAATCATTTTACTGTTCTTTAGATTCAAATATCACCGTTTTAATAATATTATATATTGAATATATACACAGCTACAACATAAATCATTCAATGCAAAAATAGTAATAAAATCAGAAATTTATTCATTCTTTTCCACGTTATGCCAAACCGGAGAATTAGTGCATTTTCTGTTGTATGCAGTAATAAACAAGTACAGTGTAAAATGTTAATCTACCCAATCTATTAATATTAATAATAATATTTGAAATGCGAGAATTGCTTATTGACGATGTCATTTCAAAATTATATGTTCACAAAACTTTTTCATAATGTTATAAATACTTCAATTTTTTTAAACTTTATAAAATTGTGAGATCAAGGTGGAAAAGATAAGATAGTGATGGAAAAAATAATGATGGAAAAAATAGCGATGAAAAAATATTAAATAGGTCCTAGGACACAGTATTAAAAAAGAAAAATAGAATTTGATAATGAAAATTGATTAGATAAATTGCAAATGAAACGCTGCCTTGACGCAACGTTAGTCCTTGATGGGTTGAAGAGGGTGGAGAAAAGCGAACGTGAAGCCAAGAGAATTGGTTCAGTTTGTCGACGGTCTCATTCCACAGATTTATCAAATTTTTTGTCACGTGCGTGGCAAAAGGCGCGAGAGGGGCTCAGCTGGGCTGCATAACATTAATGCACCTGCGATTGGTCGCCAGTCGGAGGCTCGACCGGACCGTTTAAAAATAAATTACCACTCTGTGCAGTGTCGTTGCGGGTTAAATTGAAACCGGCCAGTGCACTCAGGAAATTTACGCCGGCCGTGTTCGGGTTCTCTGGTTACACTCATCTCGTTTACGAAGTCGTTTCTCGAGCATCGTCGTGCTCGTATTCGCTTCTGCTCTCCTTTATTCGAGAAGTGACGCACGATTCAAAGCACGTGTGACTGATTCTTGCGCATTTTACGTCGCGTTTCGCGTTACAAGATCAATTCCGACTATCATCTACACATATACGTGCAACCACGACGAGCGAACCTAACCTCAAAATCGTTCGAGCTCGTAACTGTATCTTCATAAAACTACACTTCCTACTGGATTATCTGTCCGATTTTACTGAAAATAAAGTATGATAAAAAATATTTTTCATCGCACTAGTAGTGTTTTTTTCATGTGTATAAATTGTTCGCGTGGAGTGCAACTTGAAGAATCTTCTTTAGCATGGTGCTAGAAGAGTGATAATGTACATTTTATAGTGGATTTATTTTGTGTGGAAAAAGAGTCTCGTTTTCACTTGTTACTGTGTCGATTATTCGTCCGACAATGTAAATTGAAATGAAGAGACCGATCTGAGAGAAATGATATAATTAGTGTGGTACGCATACGTAAGTGATGTGTAACGTCGACTTGTTTTCTCGTCGTGTCCAATCATCGTTTTATTCGTGCCGCTTATTGCGTCATGGATTTGGTTGGACGAAAACGTATTTGCTCGTCGCAACCTTGCACGCTGTGCATCATTGAACCTTTCGTTCCTCTAAAAATGTGAATTGAATAATACGTCAATTGCGTAATGTCGTTGATAACGTGAAGAAAAATACGTTGGACGTTTTCTTTTTCTTTTCTGAAATCATTCCCTGTAAATGTTTACATACACGTATATTTGATTAGATATATTCAAATTATTGCGATTATTATTATATCTCTATATTATTATGAATATCCTTTCTTGTGCTTCAATAAGTCCATGATACATTGTATTTAAATTATTGCGAATTTCCTTTTAACAAGTATTATGAATGTCCTTTCTTGTGCTCCAATAAATCTATGATCTCTACTGTATTTAATTTATTGTGAATTTCTTTTTAGCAAGTATTATTATGAATGTGTTTTCTTGCGCATGCATATTATGCACTACTGTACCTATCATATCTTTTTTTCAAATGTTCTCAGGTCATATGCTAATAATATGTATATCTACATGATGTGAGACATGTTAGTGAGGCAGCTTTAAAGTGAAATGTTTCGTAGTTTACCAGATAGGGTGGCAGGGCTGTATTATGCCCATGGCCTGTTTTGTTCGTCTCATCCCATTGCAATCATTTCATTGGCAATCTCGATTGTATTGCTATGCTGGTTAGTAATACTGCTTCATTTGTATCCTACAACAAATAACAGGAATTAAAAAATAATTGCCATTTTTTTTTCTATAGCTCTCCTTTGGTTAATGTACCAATGCCTGGCAATGTGCCAAGGACAATAATTAACCATACTATTGTACCTGAAAATAATACAGAGAACTCTGTGTTTTATGTGCAACAAGTGGTATTAAGGGTTGGAGTTATACCATGGACAGAGGAGTTAACACTGATGGATGCTTTCAGAGGTCCACTGTATGAAGTTTTTAATCTTTTAGAAATCATACAGAATTATCAGCATCCAAAAACGTAAGTTGTTTGCTTTTAGTTGACTCTTTGAGTTGTGTTATGTCTTTATTGTTATTATTTCTTCTAGACTAAAGACACTAGGTCAAGTCTGCTTACATATTGAGGCAGTTAAAAAAAGAAATGGCAAAAAGTCAGAAGTTTTGCCAGAATACAATTGTTTGGTTCTTTCACCTGCAAATCTATGGCAACGAAGTATTGAACTGTATGCACAAGATACAAATCTTATAAATACTATATATTCGTACCAGGTATGACAACAGTAGATTGAATAAAGTCCAGAAATAATAAGATTTAAGAGAGATTTTAATAAGAATAAAAAAGATTTGCTGTAATTATAAAATTATGTTTTACAGAATCTACAAAAAGGTAAAATTAGTTTAGCCGAAGTAATGTTTGGAATGAATTTAAAAGAAACTGGAATTAAAAGATATCCAATTCGACTTAGACAAAGGATTTTACAATATGCAGTAACTATTTACTTAAAGGACTATGACCCTGAGTAAGTAATTAATTGACAAGTATAATTAGTTGACAATTACTTTTCATATTACTTGGTTGTTTGTATTTTCAGGTTTATAAAAGGATTACAACATAGATTGAAAAGTTACTATCATCTTCATCAGATACAAAATGATAATGCTACTTACATTCCAATGGATGAAACATTACATATTCTTTATCCTGGTGAATTTAACTATAGTGACTTTTTCCCCCTAATGATGACATTTTTTGCTTTGTTTTTCTATGTTTATTTCTCTGTGCGTAAAATAGAGTTAGTGAAATCAAAGATTGGAATAGCTTTTAGTGCAACAGTAACAGTGATAGGTTCTTTGTCTATGACTGTGGGTATTTGCTTTTTTTTTGGCTTAACATTGAGTTTAAGTGGAAAAGAAGTGTTCCCATATTTGGTGATTATCGTTGGGCTAGAAAATGTGTTGGTATTAACCAAAAGTGTAGTGAGTACTCCAGCACATTTGGATGTGAAAATACGCGTTGCTCAAGCCCTCTCCAAAGAAGGTTGGTCCATTACCAAAAATTTGCTTACAGAAGTGACAATCCTGACAATTGGATTGTTTACTTTTGTGCCAGCCATACAAGAATTTTGTATATTTGCCATTGTGGGATTAGTCAATGATTTCTTCCTGCAAATGATGTTCTTTTCAACAATCCTCGCTATTGATATTCGACGGACTGAGTTGTCTAATGAAACGTCGAAGTTTCATTTGCCCAACATACCAACTACGCGTAAGCAATTTACGACGACCATAACGAATAGAAAACCAAATATTTTCCGATCAAAATCTCATCCGAGATTAAATGGTTTATCTAGTGGCCCGACGAATGTCATAGCTCCAAATACACAAAACACTCATACATTTGGCAAAATTCCAAAACGTTTACGTCTAGTACATTTCTGGGCAAGAACTCGAATATTTCAGCGTGCCTTTATGGTATGGATGGTTGTCTGGATCAGCATGATCATTTACAATTCTGGCATTGTTGAACATGTTATACATCTAAGTGAAACATTAAAATCAGAATCAGATATTGATGGATACACAGTAGATAGGTCTCAGTCTTCAAGCAATTACGTCGAATTAAATACCATGAAATCAGTGTCAATTGCTTCTGAAACCATTGCTCCAGATCATTTGAACAAACAGGTAATTTAGAGACCATCTGTTTATTTTATTTTAAACGCTAAATGTATGGAATTTCCAGAACATAAATTTTAATTTACCGCGTTTTTTTGTACGTTAGGGTGATTTAACAAATAATATTACCGACGAATTGAATAAATTAAGACCAGTGGAATTCCCACCTTGGAGTCGTTTATCGCTTTATCACTGGTCTTCGATCCTTTCAATGTACAACATCTCTGCCGCCGGTGGACGTATAATTGTATTACCTACTATGAAACTGTCTCATGCTGTCAGTCCGCAATTAGTGAAACAAATTAGTAATCCAAATGATGTGCAGCATTTTCAATGGCAGAGTTTTGCGACTGTCGCCTTCGACCCGTTAGATTTCTCAGGTAAGTATATATAATATAAAAGAATTATCAATACAATTAACGACACAGTCATTCAGTTAAAAATTTATTACAGATATGGAATTACCAACAAGGTCAGAAAGTCGAGGATTTAACGCGGATGCTCCTTTCATTCCCTCCAGTCCGATGGAAATATTTTTAGCGACAGTGCTATGTCTCATTAGTATTATTGTCGTTGCCTATACCATGGTTGTCCTCTATAGATGTATTTGCTCGAGAAATTACGCCGAATGGCGAGCAAGTTGGTATCAGACAGAAAAGGCACACGATTCAGCAACACAATTGGTTTTGGAGGCATTACCCCTAGTTCTTGAAGGTCACGCTCAAGAAGTAGAATGCATCGCTACAGACGGCAACACCATAGCCAGTACCTGTTTAGCTGGACACATCAAAGTGTGGGATGCAACATCGGGTGAACAGTTAATTCACATAGATAGAAAACAGTTCTATAGTAGTCCTAATAAAAACTTGAACCATACAACACCGGATGTGGATGAGTTAATGTCGGATTACGAAAGTGGTTCGCCACCTTCGAGAGGGGAGATGGAGAACACTAATCCGTTTGGATCGTACTACTGGCCAGCGTCGACTGTCAACTGCAGAAAATCCTCTCCTGGATTATATAATATGCACAGAGGACAAAATGATAATAGAAAAAGGCATTCAATGGGAAACACACTGGATTATGATTATCAAATCAATGAATTCAACTTGGAGAAGAAGAAAATTGGTCGTAAAAGTTTGGACAACGCTTATGATCTTCCAGACTTAAAATCAGCGATAAATATCAAGTTTACATCGATGAAACAGTTCCAAGCACAGCAATATCGCGAGCAAGGATTCGATTTTGGTGACCAATATAAACATCTTTTTGAGGAACATAATAGGTCTATAGACGAGCTGCAGAATTCAGGGAGTTTAGAACAATTGTGCATTCCTAGTGTACAGTTAAACTCGTCCGGTGTAGTGGACAATGTGACTTTTGTGAATATAGATAAAACTATGCAAATCTCGCATGCAGTGTCTCCTATTTGGTGTATGGACTATCAGGAGAACCTTATAGTCGTGGGTTGTGCAAACGGCAGTTTAGAATTTTGGGAAGGTACTACAGGTAAATTTAAGGTGAATATTACAAAAAATCAATATCAATAGCAATATTAATATTTTAGAAAATAACAAAGTAAAAATTAATGAAATACTTTAGTGTTTGTTCGATGACGGATCAGGGCTCGGAATATCCGTCGTAAAATTCATCGGCAGTAGAGTGGTGGCCGCTAAATTAAACGGTTCCATTGACTTTTTACAATTAGAAAGTTACAGTGAAGGTCAACAAATTGACTGGGGCTTCACCTCCTATAGAAGAAGTAAGTTCATTTGTTACTATTTAAATATGCTGCTCTTTGCACTGTTACTTTTTTTTAGCTCACGTCAGAACAGGAAGTGCTGGCTCACCTATGGATATAAATAACATCATGCAATCCGAAGAAGACCTTCGTTGCATGAAAATTAGCTCTCATAAAGCACACCAGCAGGCAATAACGGTGCTTGACAGCGAGGGTGGTCGAGTTTTAACTGGTAGTCAGGACCACACTCTTAAAGTATATAGGTATGTATCTTTGTTTCATGATTTCTCTGAAACGTCCGCTAATTACGCTTACTTAATTTCAAATTCAATTTCAGGCTGGAGGACCAGTTGCCATTGTATACCCTCCATGGTCATTGTGGTCCCATATCCTGTCTATTCATTGATAGGGTGAGCCCTATGACGTCCGGCAGTGGGTCTCAAGATGGCCTTTTGTGTGTCTGGGATCTCTTAACTGGTATTTATATTATATCCTAGATAACAAATCATAACTTTTTATAACAAAATCATGTTTTTATTTTTTGTTCATAGGAACGTGTATGTACAGTATACAAGCTCACGATGGTGCTATAGCCGCTATTACGTGTTCCGTGTCGTACGTGATAAGCATTGGCACTGATGAGAGGTTATGCGTATGGGAACGATTTCAGGGACACTTACTACATGCTCTTCCAGCACACAGATCAGCGTATAGTTTACAGTTAGTCATGTTAACACATCATTTACTCATAACCAGCAGTCAGGTATGTGCATATATTCTATTCTAATGAGATGAAATTTTTATTAGTTTAGCAGCTTTCGTAGCAACCCTTTTGCCACGTAAATATCGTGTGGGTAAGGTTCATGAAAATATGAGATATGTTTGCAATTTGTACGATTTCAGGGATCACTAGTAGTTTGGGACGTGAGGACGGGAGAGCCTGTGCGCGAAGTGAGACTGGGTCACACAGATAGTTGTATTTTCGTAAAACAAATGTTAGCGTTAAGAGATAGCGTAGTGTGCGATTTTGGTCGACAATTGCGGATAGTCAGGTTCCCATTGGTCTCTGATAAACTAGATTAAGATCTGTATATGCACCATTGTACATAGCTCTGTTTCGTTTCTTATTTAATTTTAATATTTGAACAGCGTTATACCATCTATGGAGATATAGATTTTTACACGACGTACATTTTACATTTGAAAATTAGACACACACTTTTAATATGAATTTTTTACACCAGACTACACCCGTCATGATCGTCGCCTTAATACATTTGTACCCTATCGTGACAGGTAAAGAGAAACGTGTAGAGTATATAAGTATACTTAACCCTTTCTATGAACCGCTACGAAAAATCTTCAACGATTCTCGAGATGGTTCATGTACATTTGAATATATCGCTAAAGGCAATGATACATGATAGAGATCATATTTTTAGATAACTAAACAGAGAATCGAATAACTTTTGATATCTCCGTTCATTGCCTAAATAACAAATAAAAAATATGGCTGTGCTATATTTCGAGGCATCTAATTTCTTTCACAGCGCGATTTATGAGCATTTTCATAAGCGTCGTTTGTTATTTTCCTTCCTGTTTAAACAACTTGGGAGTAGATCCATATGCGGAACTGATATTTTTGATTGTTAAATCGGAGTTGTTAAATACAGATATGTGCTGGAATTTCACTTCTGTATTATGCAAGCATCTAGACTGCGGATATTTATACTCTTATGAGAAATTTGAGGGCAATAATGCTTGGCGAAGATGTATAAAATATCCAAATTTACTATGTAGATTTTTCTATTATATAGGTTCTATTAATTATTAATTATATTCATAAAAGTATGAATTTGCATAAATATCTGCAGTCTAAAAATAACGATTAGTTAGTTCATAAGCAGTACACTTATCGGTTTATTATAGAGGATCTTTCAACTCCATGAGTTTTAAGAATCAATGTATTGCATAACAAATGTCTAGCGTACGACGAAATTTCATTCTGTCTCTATGCAATTTTGTTACACGGTCTAAGAGTGCCTTTATTCAGTCTTTATTTAATCTAATTAAATATAAACGTATCTTCGTAAGGGGCTGTGGAAATGAATAAAACAGATTACAATATTCTGACGCTTGGCCCCTCGACATGACGTCAATGGAGGCTTGCAAATTTACAGTTATCTAGAATCGTACATTGAATGTTGATTCATTTAGAGCATTGACAGAAAAATATGTAATTTAATTTCTCCTGCCAAGAGTCTTTCGGAATTGTTGAATTTTATTTTCAAGAACCGAGCTCTTAGGCTGGAAGAATTGAATATTTAACATCCTATGTATTAAATCATGTAGTCTCATTTAGTTTTAGCGATCTATTTTTATAATAAGAATCATTTACTTTCGAACGAACGAAAATGGGTCCTATTTTGCATACATATATAATATACATGTGTATCACCATAGAAGATTTAATATGTAAATTGTCTTCTCCGCTTCGCGATTCGCTAAGGTTCAAAGGGAAGAATATGTATATTTTGGGACACATAACGATGCAGAGTGTCGCCAATGTTTTATTCTTCTGAGAGAAAGTTGTACAAAAGCGTTCGAATCAAGTCCAAGTGTAAAGTTTGAAATATAGAAAATTATTGTTGAAGAGAGCGTTTAATGTTACAAAAAGGGTTCCCGGCCATTAGCTGCATATACGTTTGAAGGAAAATTTCAGAAGTTTATTTTAGATTTAAAAATATGATGTTTTTATTGCTCGCAAATTATGTGATATACAGACTGCAAATTGTATGCAAACTTTTATTGTTACGGCCAAGAATTCAAGAAATGGAACTCAAACAGAGGTTCATTCCACTTACTACATATTATAACAAATAATATGCTTTAGATGTTTTATATGTAATATCTTTCTTAATCTATTTATAGTTAATTCTAATTACTTTAAATTTTAATAGAAGCATAGAACTTTGAAGTCTAGCGATACGTAGTTGTTACTTGGACTTCCACTTGTATAATGAAACTCTGAATAATTTATCAGAAAGATGCGATCATATTTTTAAAACGTATGCAACAACTTCCACACTTTTATTCGAACATTTCCAGTTAATTGTCAGGGGACTCTTTGGTTAGGTTTCGAAGTTTGGCATGTGTGTTATGAAATGAATGTTAAAGATAGCGATCTATATGTCTTTAGACTGAATTGTGTGGCGGTACGTGTCAACAAATTTCGTTTTATTTTTCTGATACAAGTTCGAGGCAATTAGCGTTGGGTCATGCGTCTATTAAAAATAGAGATATATATTTTTCTTAACCAAAGTTATAAATCATATCAGAGATCATGACACGTTCATATTCATAGAAGTCGTTACGCGAAAGGAATAAAAAAAAGCAAGGATAAAATAATTAAAAAAAGAATGAAGAAAATGCTTTTAATGACACAGTTGGCTGGCTAACGTTTCATTTAGGATTTCGCGTGATTTTTATATTTATTTAATTAATTTAACATGTGCAAATATGTCGTACACCAGATATACAGTTCTTAATAAATTCTCACATTTACTACACCTTGAGTTACCTCTAGTATCCTAAATGAACTCGTCGCATGATTGATCAATAAGCTATGAATAATTATACAGATTCAGTTTTTCCTCATCCTATCTGAATATTATAACAAATACGTTACATTGAATATTTCATTTGAAACTGCAAGTTTCTCATAAACGCTTCAAACTTCACAGTCTGTTGATCAATTTCCTCCATCCTTTCTTTTTCTCCTCACTAAAACAGATAAATTATTAATGCAGTTTATGGAGGTTTTTTCTTTCTTTTTTTTTTTTTTTGAGAAGGGAAATTTTTACTATCTTTTATGAGGAGGATACGTCTAGAAAATTGAAATGAACGTGCAATTGGGAGTCATTATAATATCAAAAATTCCACGTATGGAGCTTTCCTCCAGATAAGAATTATACTATTGTAGTGTGTAATTAAGTTTCTTGGCAGATCAATAGGTGATAGTACAAGTGTAGTATAATTCCATGATCAGACTACGTGCGTAATATCGTTCAATGACATATTATGCACAACACCATATTTTGTAATTAATATTCTTGATAATAAGACATAGAAATTGCGGATTTTGTCAAAACCATCTAATGACAAAATCCGCGATCACTTAGTTGCCAACATTAGTTCAGAGAACGAAGCGACTAAAAGAAATTTGCCAAGGAAAGGTGTTGCTATATTACTTTGCTACAATTACTTTGCTACTTGGTATAGGGTTGGCAGCTAAGTGATTGCGGTCATTACCACCTAATGATAAAATCCGCAATCACTTAGTTGCCAACCGAAATCTCAAGTAGCAAACTGGTTTTATCGGTATTAAGGGCAATGAATATTCAATAAGAAATAAATGACAGATTCTCGTATCATTAACAGGCTCTTAAATTCGCGCGTCATACAAAGTTATGAGCTTTTATTCGGATAATTATTAAAATAAGGTTTTTATTTTATTTCTTTCCTTATTTGAAATGACCAAATATTTGGCAAATAAATTACCTGAAAGTAATTTATTTGTCAAACAAGACAACCTTATCTTCCAATAAGTTATTTCAAGTGAATTGAAATTTTTTCATTCGTTATACCATTCAACATTATTCGACGTAATAAGATGAGAAATTTGAGACATTTTTGAAATTTTTCAAATATTTCAAGATCATAAGAGTATAATTTTCTGGAGGAAAAAACAATTGGAATTATCGTTCTTACAACAAAGACTTACACAAGTTGGCCATGCACGAACAGTTGCAAGCTAATTGCCTGTTACAATTGATAAACATAGCGTAGACGAGAGTAATTGATCATATTGGACTGGCAAGAGCACATAAGTAGCTCATTTGTAATAGACGGCATGCCCAATTAGCGCAGTCGATTTTATCTAAATCACGCTTGAAAGATATATTCCTCTTTCTGTGATACATAGTGTACTTAAATTCTCTCTAACAAAGGTAGCAAGATGATTAATTAATGACACAGGAATATAAATTATAGTGAATTTTGCTAATATATTTTTCTTTTATTCTAAAGATCAATAAATTTCATAGACTACTGTGAAACTTATTACATAAAGAAAATTTCAAAGAAATCAATATCAATATAAAATTGCAATAGATCTAGATCTAGATCTAAATCTCTGAATCTTCATATAAGTAAATTCAAAACGGTTGGATAACTTTTGTATGTTAATAAGTTTGGGAATACGATATTAGATTAGTGTAATTTATTTTGAAATATTGCTATCTGTAATTTAATCCAGGCATTTATAAGATTAACTGGCTGAAAATAAAGATAAAAAGTTTTCCATAGTGTCAGTGGCAATAAACAACAGGTGTTAAGGATAATTAGCATGTTGAGAGCTGTCTCAGTTAGCATGAAGAATTCTCAATGGCCAATATATTAAGTTTGAACTTAGCAGAACGATTCTTGTTTTAATACACTAATTAATTAATAAGCATTTGCTGTTACATTGTCATTACTTATACATGTAGATTGCTCAAGTAATCCAATGATGGTCAGATTGTGTTAATTGATTATCAAGATAATGAAGTACTCAAAGATAAATAGTTGTTGCAAAGCATGTATCATGCCTTTTGTATCAACATTCAACTTCCAAAGTAAGACTCAAGTTTCTAAAGTAACTCAATAAATTCTAAGATACTAAAGAGGACACTTTTCCTGATAGAAGAAAATCTAGTTCAATGAAGATACCTACCTGTATGACATTATAGTATTTGAATTTTTCCAATATTCTTCAATGATATTTAAGATAGCAGTAAGAACCCTTTTACCAAACAAATTTCCTGTGAACCAGTTCAAGCTTGCATTCTAAATATTCAATGCAACAAAGTCTCAAGCCACTTGAGTGAATTTCAGGATATCAACAAAGAGGATACAAGATGTGATTTCCAATAGATTGAACTACATACAACACCAGACAAACATACAGTTTGATATTGTGGCCCACTGATTTCCACAAGCTGTATCAGTGATCTTTAGAATACCAAGAATTTCTAGTAGAAAGAACAATTTCTAACACTTTGCATGGCTCAGTTTGAGTCATCTTAACACATAAATATTCAGTGTGATATGAATTCACTCCCCAAGCCACATACTAATATACTTTATTCCTAACACTAACAATGCTACTCCCAATACTTCACAGCATCCAATTTGAGTGAAACATGACATCAAATATCGCTACTCAGTGCAATATTGAAGAGAATGCGTATAATCGAACAAAACCCAAAACCTACTCTTGCTACTCTAATATTTCAAGTCAAGACGTCTACTCCAGCTGACCAGCTATCGCTACCAGCTTATCAGTAGAGCCACCAGGAGCCTCCGAGTCATCCACTTTGTCCCAAACTCTAAATTCAACGTTGCTGTCTTCCACTGCTACTCGTCTCTCCCCGCGTTGGTCTGATCAATTTGCAAAGAGGATTAGAAAACACCGGCCTCCTCATTAGCGCGAAGACTATGCGGCAAGCTGGAGGTGCAACGGACTGATATTCGCCTGACTGAGGCTGACCCGTCACATGTGCTCGTTGATGAAAGCGAACGTGTTTGGTGGAGGAGGAATCGGAAGGTGCATTCGAGCTGTTCGCTTTCATTAACAGTTTAGTATGTCAGACAAGAGTCGGGCGAAGGACTAGCTGGTTGTGCTCTCGGCTTGCAAGCGGAAGTGGTCGTGCAAACGCTCGTTGTTGCCCCGTGAGACTCGGGCCTGGCCAAAGAGACCAGACGACTGGCTGCAGCTCGGGAAATCGCGTTTCCACGTAAATACGAGAAAGAAGATAACCAGGCCTCGTGTTCGCATTCCGCACTGTTCATAAGACCTTATTATCGCCGTTTTCTTCGACGTTGGACGCGATCGACGCTTGGCAAGGCGATCTGGTCGTTTGACCTGCCTCCAGTGGCTTTTCTCGACTGCAACTTGTCAACGTCGGAATTTTAGTCACGAGCGAGGCACGCGAGCGAACGATCGACGAGGCTTTGGGAAACATTTGAACGCAAGGCTGGCGCATAGACGCGGATTTCAGTTGCAACGCTAGGATTTCCGAGCAAGGGAAGTCACAAGGTGAAGGAGAGAAGTGAAAGTACCTGGGATATTCGGCTCGTACTCGTAAATTCTACGGTTCTGATCAAAGCCAACCAGCTGACACAGTAAAAATCATCGTTACAGAAAATATCGGAGGAAAGCAACTTTTCAAATATCTCTCTGTCGTCTATCAACGAAAGTAGAACTCTTGGACTCTTTGCGATTAGAAGAGATCCGCGCGATGTTGGAATAAGAAGAATAGCAAAACAAAATAGCAAACAGAAGCTCTTGCAAGATTTTCTAACGCCTTATTTTACATGACAGCACGATTCTCGTGATTGTAAAAGATGTGAAAGACGAAGGCATGAGAAGAATGTGAATCGGCGAGGATTAAGAAGACGAGTGAAACATAAATTCTCTTTATCGAAGCTGGTCACTCGTGAAATCGTCTTCGATTTTCTTTTTTTCCCCCAGAGGAAGAGCAAGTTGAATTATTTTTTGTGAGGACAATCTTGACAAGATCTGAGAGGAAGAAAATCCTGACAGGATCTCATGAGATTACCTGAATTCTTCGAACGTTATTTGCAAGCAGAAAGAAGAAGCTTGGCGGCATAGTAGCTGGTGCAGAACGCGCGAAACAAAGAATGCGCTTGTGAAAGAATTTTGAAAACAGCTCAAGAACAGTAATTTACGGTGTACACTATCGATTTAGAATGGCGCAGCCAGGAAACAACGATACCACCAGGTCTGTAAATTCTTCAAGTTTTCTACTAACATTGAACGTCTGTGCGATTAGCAATGAGGAGAATAAATTTATCTAACGAACTCGTTAATCTTCAGAAATAATTGCCTTCCTCGCTTAGATAATTCTGTTTAACGGTTATTTACACGGTATCTTGTAAATACGTAAGTAAAATTCAAATTATCGACCGCTCTTATATTCAGAATCCAATATATTATACATTGGCTGATAACTTTATCAGAAAAACGCCTTGCCATTCGAAGGACGAATAATTCAGGCGCCTTGTATTTAATTTTTAAAGAAAAAAGCTGAATTTCCTGATGATATTATTTGACAAATGTTTTTCCAATTCGCTGCTTACAGGTCCTGAAACGAATAAATTTTTCCGATAAGAATTTCAATTTACCGATATTTTCTTCAAAATATTTAATAATAATTTCAATGCTATTCACGATATTATGTAACGTTTATTATATAATATCACTATTTAAATAATACCGTTGTTAAATACCTTTTTCTAAAGTTCCAAATTGGACAATTTCTATGAGGATTTTCATTTAACAATCGCTTCTTTCGTTCTCTGATATTTGTTTGAATTTAATGCTGGGCTTTTCGATATTGTTAATATCGATATATTATTGCTATATGTTAATAATATTCCTCTCGCTAGGAAGTGCGAGTTTCAACAAGCAATTCATATCATTTTAGCATGTTTTTTTATCTTATTCTTCGCTGTCGTTGTGAAAGCAAAAAGCTAGCAACTTGCTAAGAGAATAATATTAAAAAAATTCCAAATTAGAGAGAAAATTGAATTATTATTATTTTATACTGCGTTCAACGTTTGATAAACAACTTACTTTTATTCGATGATCCTATCTTTTCTCTTCTCGTTTTTTATCTCCCCTCTCGCACGATTCTCCTTCTATCGTAATTGCAATTTTGGATATTTTTATTTCCCAGTATCTTTTTTTTTTTTTTTTTTTTTTTTTTTTTTTTTTTTTTTTTTTAATGGAAAAACTACTGTTTTCTATGGAAAACACTGCTGCTTTTTTTTACGAATAATTATTCGTTCCTCTTTTTTTCTCTCAAAAAAAAATCACGGATAACCAGACGAAAATTCTCATTGTAGGAACAAAAGGCAATTCTTCCAGCTCTTTTTTTCTCATAGCACCGGTAACATTATTGCAGGTTGTTACGTAACGCGATAGTATTCCATAGCTTTGGTCACGTGAATGCTGCACTTTAGTGTCCTGTAAAGTATTTTCAGTTTGCCAATATATTTGGTAATCGCAAATTATCAGGAACGAGGACTTTGAATGCTGTGGAGGAAGAATTTTAAATTTTGTTTTAATTTTGTCAAATTTCTAAGATCTCGAAACTTCGCGCTTCGAATACTTGAACTTCCAAACGTCTGAACAATTGAAAGTTAAATATTCAAAAGATTTCGAAGGTTTTTCACATTTCTAAACGTTGGAGCATTGAGAAATTCGCGTAGAAAAGATGTCAGACTTTGTGCTAAATCGCAAATTTCTTAAACTTTTATTATTAAAATCTTCAGTTATACAAAATTTCAAAAGTCTGTAAGAAATATGTCGAAATGCGTTCGAAGATTCGACCTTTTTAGTCAAAGCAATTGGATTGGCAACTAAGTGATTGCGGATTTTGTCAATACCTTGTCATTAGGNNNNCATTAGGTGGTATTGACAAAATCCGCAATCACTTAGTTGCCAACCTTAACATATAAAACGTGCAATCTTTGGCAAGCTAGAACTTGCAAACGCACTGAAATTTCGAAATATGCGAAAAGTGTTTCAAAAAGACGAAGAAAATTCGATACTTGTTAGCCACGTGATACGTGTAACATTGGAGAATTTCTTTGCATCGCATAACAAACAGTTACTTTCACTTTAAACGGATTCTATCACGCATCGAGCATGGTGTAATTCTTCTCGTGTCGCTTTAGTTTATGCTTCTGACTGTTATACATTCTTTCGTACAGTTACGTGTAATCAAGATGAGCAATACTCGATAAGTAGTCATCGAACATGAAACAAGCTTCCAACATTAATAATAACAAAGCGTTCCATTCGAGTGCGCTGTTGTATCGGATTACGATATCGCGTAAATCAACGAGTGCTTATGTAGATACTTTGGCCGATTTATAATAACACACGAATATCATGTCGAATTGAGCCAAGTTGCTCAAGAGAAACCTATTCATAGTTACAACCCTCTATTCTTTTTTTTTATTATTATTTAACTTGTATTTTACAATTTATCCAGCTGGACGTTTAGTAAATTTTTCCAATTTTATTGTTAAATAACACGTGGATGGCAACGGGATACCATCTTCGAGTTTGACTATTTTATTTCTTTAGTGCGGTCAGTGTTTTCTTCTTAGTCTTCTCTTTATGGGAGATTTACTCGCTTCAGCAGCCGGCTGGTTTGGATGTGTCGCTGTTCTTTCCTTGTATTTTTCTGCGTACCTGGCGATTTCTTCTTTGACTGTTGGTATTTTTAAGTCTTTGTGTATATCCTCCTTTGTGTATCTTCGATTGTAGCGCCTCTAGTTTATTTATGTGGCTGATTACTGCTGTCCCCCATAGTGGTATTCCCTACGTCCAAATTGGTTTTATTATCAGTACATCTGTCTTCTTTTTATCCGTATTTTCTCTATAATTGATTTAGTATGTTGTTTCTATGTAAATTGTGTGTCTAAGTGGAGTCCTAGGTATTTAACTTGCTTTGTTTCTGTTATGTCCATGCCATTCAATTGGATATTTGGTCAACCCTCCATGGCGAGGAAAAATTAATTAAACACACAGTCGTGATCGTGTGATTTTTATTTTGCAAAAAATATCAACCCGCAGAACGACTCTTACGTTGCATAATTATCAATTGTGCAAAAATCAATGTATAGTCATTAAGTCCTAGTGGAGTCATAGGTATTTAACTTGCTTTGTTTCTGTTATGTCCATGCCATTCAGTTGGATATTTGGTCAACCCTCCATGGCGAGGAAAAATAAATTAAACACAGTCGTGATCGTGTGATTTTTATTTTGCAAAAAATATCAACCCGCAGAACGACTCTTACGTTGCATAATTATCAATTGTGCAAAAATCAATGTATAATCATTAAGTTATATATTATAATAGCAAGTTGTAGATTCGTATCAGGCTTGCAATTATTTTACAGAGAACTTGCATCTTCAATTATAGTAGAAAACAAGCATTAGCAGTTATATCATGAAATAAGCGATTGAAAAATATTGTAAAAGAAGAAGAAGATAGAAAATACAGGAAATAAGAAATAAAGCTACTTTTCCCTTCTAAATGAAAATCTTCCAACTATATCTACTGAATTTCAGATGATTAAAGCTTGCTAGCTTCTTAGATAATTTAGCCCAATTAATCGCAGGTTAAGACCAGAACAATTACTTGTTATCTTCTTCTGGCATCAACTGCTGCGTATCGTACGAAACATAAGTTCATTCATATTCATTTAACACTTTATCGGTGATCGATCAGGATTATTATTGAGCTCTCATCGTTCAAATGAGATAGCCAATCCGTCAAAAGGCTAATTAGCCTGGGATACTGTTGCTAGAACCACGGTGGTCTCTTCGTTGATCTCAGTGAATCTTCTCTGTGCTATATACAAGGTGTGTCACGACATACGGGACTCGCATCGGTGTAGCCAGGAAACGCAAGACACAAAAGCAACGAGAAAAGTTGGCAACTAAGTGATTGCGGATTTTGTCAATGCCACCTAA